CCTAACAGAATGAGGTAATACACGTCTAGAATAAAAAATATGAATATTGTGTAATGTGGACATGAGGAGGAAAAAGAAAAGGGAAGCCCACAGGTCAGGGATAACATGGAGGTGGGGGAGGGAGAGAGGGACAGAGGTAAGGAGGAAGGGAGGAAGGACGAGAGAGATCTATTTCTACCAAAAGCATCCATCAGTAGGATAGAAGAGAGAGGGAGGAGAGCGAGCAAAATGATGACAAAGAATGCATATTAAACTAAGACAATCTCTATATGGGAAGAAAGAACGGGGGAACAGAAGAGAGAAAAGCCCTTGCTCAGTGGTTAGAACGTCGGCCTAAGGATCGAAGGGTCTGGGTTAGATTCCCAGTCAAAGGCATGTACCTGGGTTGCAGGCCCGATCTGGCCCGGGTCAGGCCATGTGCAGGAGGCAATCGATCCTTATCTCTCTCTCCTCCTCCTCCCTCGCTTCCACTCTCTCTAAAAAGCAAAGGGAAAAAATATCCTCAGGTGAGGATTAACAACAAAAGTAAATACATAAAGAAGAGAGAAAAGCAGTCAAATGATTTTAATGATGACTTTGGCAGGTCAGTGGTACAGAATGCTACGTTTCCAAAGGAAGGAATTAAATCCAAAACATGAAAGATTGGCAGTGCTCAAGCAAATTTCTCAATTGTAAGAAAAATAACACGTAACTGAACAAACAAGACAGAGCCCCATCCACAGTGAACTGTGCCCAGACTTTCCAGCAGGGATCTCAGATGGTGAACTTAGATGTTGGAAATCTACTCAAGGAGAAAATAACAAATTATTTCCTAAAATGTCAAAGAATACGTTGGTAAGGGTGATTTTGCTATTTTAAACTTTTCATTTTATTTTCATCTGGCCTTTGCTAAACATTGACAAAAAGCAAGGCTGTTTTTGAGATTTATTCAAGGTGTGTGTGTGTGTGTGCATTGCTCTTCAGAAATAACACATTAACTTCATATGGGAACTTGTCCTCAGTCTAAATTTATGACATCAAAATTCTCCTTTCCATTTCCAATGTGTGGTCATTTTTCTTACTTTTATTTTTTTTTAAGAAGTAACCAAATTAAGCAAAACAGCTGTTGTGACCCCCTTCTGCGCCAGGCGGGCACAAACTTCCACCTAAGGTCTGCAGGCATAATTTCTACCTCGGACGAGGAAGGTTTGGAGGCCAGGGCGTTCCAAATACTCCTGCTTTCAAGGATCTGAGCTATATACCCATGTGCGTTAAAGGAGTCTAGAAGGAAAGCAGTTGTGTTGTTTCTGCAGTGGTTGCCTGGCGTGTGTCCTGTGGCTGAGCGCCAGGTGTTGATCACCAAGTACTCGTGCTACCAGAAGTGTTTGCGAGTATTGCCATCTAGGGGCCGGATGGGACTCTTGGCTCAGAAATAAACTGTAATTGAGCAGGTGCCGCTATTGACAATACACATATGTTTTTTGCTTTGTAACCCACACGCTTTTCATGCTTCTGAGGACAAAAGCTCTCTCTAAACGTCCCCGACAGGCTACCTGTGTTATAGGTCATCTGTGAGAGGTGATTACTACTTGCTTCAGAGCTATGCTTCTTCTGGCCCCCAGTCCTGGATATTCTGAACAAAGAAGTTTCCTTTTCTGCATTATTAATCTTGCCCGTGTTTGCCCTATTTCCACCAAAAAGGAATCGTTTATCAGAAAAGAGTGTTTTGTAACCGGGACTTGTAGCATCCTCAGCTTTAATATTCATTGTGGCCATTCCAGCCCTGTGCGATATTTATCTAAAAGACCAATCCGATGTTGTGGAGAAATCAGTTTTAAATATTTATGGGCCGAACTTTTAATATTTTAAAAAAGAGAAATTAGTCTTTCTGGAAAATTTGTTTCAGAGTCTGGTCGCTTAGCAAACGTTTAAATATTAAAAGATTTCAGGAGGTTAGCATGTAAATACCGTAATGGCACTTACGGAAACAGGAAAATTGACTTAACTAGTTTTTAATAAGGAAAAGAAATGATATTCTCTCTGCTGGTGAAGAAACATTAGCACAGTTGAAACTTGTAACCAAGAATGTGAGGAAATGGTGTCAAAATTATTTCGATGGTATATTTTGGTTTTGTGTACCAGTGTGTATTTTTTTTGAAAAATGGTTCTGTTTGGTTTTGCCACCTTGTTTTAGATTTTAATCATAATGCTATTTGTATGCCTCCCCATTAGAGAGAATTTCCATACACATAACTTTGTCTGATGCCTTCTGGTACCTACTCTCAGAAATAACTTCCTCTTCTCCATCTCACCTCCCTCTTGCCATGCCCACCAAGAACAGAGGACAATTGTCACATTTAAACATCCAATAGACCAAGATGACCTCACACACCATGAAGTATAAACATCCTATTAAACCAGTCAGAGCTTCCTCGGGGTTACTCACATCCTGTGGATGTGGTACAGGACAGGAAGTATGTATTTGAGTGTGTGTGTGCGCGTGCACGCACACGTGTGTGTGTGTGTGTGTGTGTGTGTGTGTGTGTGTGTGTACACACATTACTGGTCCACTTGCAGACATAATTCCTATCTGTAAACACATATCCATCCAGCCCAGATGTAGAAAAAGCATTCTGGGCTCTTTCAAAACATTAAGATTCTAAGCTCCAGTTAAGTTATGCAAAATATGTTAAATATTGCTCTCCGAGCAGAAACAGAACACACACAAAAACTCATTCTTGCGTTCTTTCATTTTATTTTAAGTCAACAAAGTCCAAATTCTCAAAGCCTAGCTTACAGTTACTTGGGGTACGTTTCATAGTTTCGGTTATGGCATTGTTAACGAATGCCAATATTTTCACATTTGTGTTAACGGTAGACTTCTGTACGGGCCTGTGCATTTAATAGTCCAGTTGGCTTGTTGTTTTCTTGGGTTTGCTTTATTGGAAGATCTAAATCACCAAAAGAATGAGAGAGAAGATGGGGGAGGTGGGCAGTCGTTTGTATAAACAAGCAGCTGGGGAGCTGGGGAGAGAGGATTAGGTTGTTCAGGTTAAGTCTCCACACATTCCATTGTGAGCTGGTGATCTCTAAGGCATCATAGAATTTTTTCTTTAGATTCTGTGTCACATCCCATAGGTTGTAACCTCTGAAAAGGCAAGGATCCCCTCCGACCCACACTTTGTATGTGTCTGAAATCACACAACCAGGGTGTCAAGAACAAGATTAAAACTTGGCTGGTGTGGCTCAGTGGTTAAGCATCAACCCAGGAACCAAGAGGTCACAGGTTCGATTCCTGGTCAGGGCACGTGACGGGGGTTGCAGGCTCAATCCCAAGAAGGGGCCGAGCAGGAGGCAGCCCATCAGTGTTGTTTCTCTCTTATCGATGTTTCTCTCTCTCTCTCCTCCCTTCCCCTCTCTCTAATATCAATAAAAACATATTTTTTTTAAAAAGAACAAGAAAAAAAATCCTGTTGTTTTCTTAATAATTCAAACCTCTGCTGTGATATTTGTCTGCCATCACCAATGTGTCTCATTGAATGACTTCCCAGCTGTCCTTAGCCGTTTGTAAGAGCAAACCCACCTGTCCATTTTCTTACAGGGAACAAGCCATCAGGCCCACCTGTTCGGGTTAGAACCCTTCACAGCGTATCACGTTGGTGTCGTGGCCGCCAACGAGGCAGGAGAGGTGTCCAGCCCCTGGACTCTGGTCCAGACCCAGGAATCTTCCCCAAGTGGACTGAGCAACTTCACGGTGGAGCAGAGGGCGGGCGGCCGGGCCTTGCTGCTGC